CCCCAAAACCCCAAAACCCCAAAACCCCAAAACCCCAAAACCCCGTATTTGTCTACTAAATTTGAATTATTTTCACTTAAATTTTAGATATGGATAACGTGGATATTTCTACTTACAAGGAATTACTAGACGAAACAGAAGCTGAGCTAGAGGAACTAATCTCTACTACAAACTCAAACAATGCCAGATATGTCATTGGAGTCAAAGCTATTGAGGGAAATGACTTAGAAATGGTCAAGAAGAATGTTAAGAAAGGAGTCGCATGGCTAAGAGAAGCCGCTTCGAATGATCATATTGATTCCATGGAATACTTGGCGTATCACGACATCAGATTTGAGTCTGTTCCAAACATTAAGAGAATTATGGGATATTTAGAAACAGTCATTGAGAAGAAAGATAGCACAAGAGCCCTAACTACTCTTGCTGAGTTCTACATCAACCAGAGAAAGGAGAAGAAGTCTGTTTTAAGAGGGTTTGAGCTCTATAAGAAAGCAGCTGATCTCGGAGATCTTATTGCTTGCTACTGGGTTGGCGTCCTTCTTCATAGAGGACAAGGAGCAGACAAAGATATAAAGGAGGCAATTAAATATTTGGAAAAGGCTAGCGAATTAGGTAATGTCCAAGCTGACTACGAGCTCTTCGATACTTATGCTAGAGAGGAAGGATATGAAGACCACCCAAAAGCTTATAACTACTTCTGTGATGCTATTGAGAACAGCTATACATCTTTCCAAGAGCTTCAAGATTATTTTAAGAAAAATATTGATGTGCTTAAAGGTGAATTTTTGAAAAGGAAACACAATGAGGATCTTAAAATTGACTCTGACGAAGAGATCTTGAATCTCCATGATGCCTATATTACCGAACATATGAACAAGTTCTCTAATGCTATGAGGAAAGACCAGCTGTACAAGAGAGCTCCAGCTTATATGAACGATGGCCTCATCTGGATGATGAAGGTTTTGAAGAATTACATGCTAGACACTGTTTTGAGATATGACCACAAAGATTTCTTGGATGCTGTCGAGTCTGATATTCCTCCATTGATTTCGGAGGTAGGAGTCTGGCTTTTTGAGAATGAGGTAGAGAGACAGAAGGAACTTGGCGATAAAGAGGCTGTTAAGAAAGCAAGAACATGTCTCGAAATCATCAAGAAGATTCTGAAAGATGGCATTGAATACTTTACAAAGGAGGGAAAATACCATCTGATGAACAGATATAGTCCTAAAAAGTGTAAGGATGAGCAAAAGAAGAGAGAAGAAGTTCAGTTCAAGTATAGTTTTAAGAACTATGCCAGACCTGAATACTTCAAACAATTGGAAAAGATGGAAGAGGAGTCAAAGACTCAAGCGGAGAGAGATGCTGCTCTTAAATGTAGCTATTGTGGATGTCCTGAAGGAAGTATAAAGCATAAACTCTGTTCTGCTTGCAAGAAAGTCTACTATTGCAGTGCTGAATGCCAGAAGCAACACTGGAAGGCTACCCATAAGAAAGAGTGTAAGTTGTTGAGGAAAAAGTAGACATTTTTCTATTGAGTTTATGATTAAGGGGTTTTGGGGTTTTGGGGTTTTGGGGTTTTGGGG